TTTATCATCATTAGTCATTTAGGTCAACATTGGATCATTCAGAGATCCTCACTGAACTTCTGGAGAGAGTTTGCTGCACTGAAAGTAAAGGGGCTGAATAATTTTGCACGCCCAATTTTTCAGTTTTTTATTTGTTAAAAAAGTTTGAAATATCCAATAAATTTCATTCCACTTCATGATTGTGTCCCACTTGTTGTTGATTCTTCACAAAAAAATTACAGTTTTATATCTTTATGTTTGAAGCCTGAAATGTGGCAAAAGGTCGCAAAGTTCAAGGGGGCCGAATACTTTCGCAAGGCACTGTATATTCCCACATTCCATTAGATTCTCGTTTCCTTTGTCGGATTTGTTGTCAAATTCACATCTTTCCCTTTTCTCTTATTTCCTGTTTCTGGTTGCACACACACACACACACACACACACACACTGTAAACATCTCTCAGGCGTGTCCTCACTCCCTCAGTTTATCTCTGTGTTATGACCTCAGTCCTTGTGTAGTTGACTCGGGGTTGATAGTGTTTTCAGTATTCGGCCTTGAGTCACTGGACAGTTGGACAAGCCTGGGAAATCTAGTGGATTATGTCCTGCGCGCACACACACACACACACACACACACACACACACACACACACACACAGAGTACTGCACACACTCGACCAACTATCACTCGAATGCATACTGTTCATTCCTTACATGGCGAGTCTTCTTTGTCATCAGACTCGCGTTGAGTTAATTTAAAAATAATTTGCATACAAGTTGTACAAAAAGAAAGTAGATTCATACCTGCAATGTGAAAGTCACACACCCTCACACATAGACACACACTCAAAGACAGGATTAAAGGCGATGGATGGATTTAAGGATTTGGTGGGTGTGGTGGATTCCAGTTATCCCAGTTATTTGCCTGGTTTTCTCTCTGGGGGCATGAACACATGTTCACACATACACACATTCTCCTAGAAACAAACACTTGTTTTTGAGTGCGACAGTGTAATCAGTGTTTGTCCCGTCAAAGTCCTCGCTCAGCAGGGATCATTAAAGAGCAGTTAATTACCCATAATCCACTCTGGGCCATATGTCTGCTCTGTTGGAATGATCAGAATTCGTCTCGGTGTGTATTTGTGTCTTCTCTTCTTTTTTCTCATATTTCCACATACTGTGTTTCGACCATGCTATTTGTCTCTATTTACTTCTAATTTTTGTCATTTTCTTATATTTGTCCTCCCTTTTTCATCATTGATACTACTTCTTCTCACGTCTTACATCATTAGTGGAGAGTTGACTTGCTCTGCTTTATTCCCCAGTGTTTATCCATCTCTCCCACTTTTCATCTCTGCCTCTTTCTATCTGTTTGTTTTTGTGCCCACAAATCCACCCATCCCTCCCCCTCTATCTCTCTCCACCCCTCCCTCCCTCCTTCTGATCTCCCGTTCTCTTTCTTTCTTGTTTTGGTTCATACTCAGTTTGACCAAGAGGGAGTCAGAGTTAACTTGCAGCAGTCCTCACCAAAAAAGCTCCAAACCTTTCTGCCTGATCCACAGTAAGGTACTGTCAACAGTCTGTGTCTGTGTATTTTTCTTTGTCTGTTCTTCAATGCACCATGATTCACTTTGAGTTTTGTTTGTTGCATTGATGCTTCAGTGTCTGCTGAGACAAGTATGTTACTGTTACAGACTTTGAGCTCTGATAACTGTGATAACTGTGATATAGTCATGATACCTTTATGGCTATTTTATACAGTAGGTATAAGTGTTAACTTGTTTGCCTTGTGCAAGTGTTTACAATTTTAATGTTAACTAGATCAAATGATCGGCACCGCCTAAAAATAAGAAGCTGCTTTAGTCAGAGCTTAAAAATTAAGGCTGAAACCAAGTCCGACTCTGGATTAACTAACGTCAGCTGAACCACTTCTGTGTCCCCACAACCATTAAGAATGGAAAAAATGTAGTTTGCGGCTAATTCGTGACTGTCTTGTTGGATGATTTATGGGTGGATGAAGCCATCAAAATTCAGTTAGCACGCCTCTTTCTGCCAACATGTGATCTTTCCTTGTGCAACTTTTAACACTCAAATGTGTCCATCACGGAAAAAAACAAAGGTTTTTTATATTTTATAGCATCAGCACGGGGTCTACTTTCACACAAAGTCTTGGTTTGGTTTCATACAAAGTTTAAAGTTAAACTGGAAAAGTGATTTCCTCTGGATGAATGAGGTTCAGTGCACAGCAGTTGAATCGGCCACATAAAACATTTTAATTTACTGGGAAGAATCACCCAGTACTCTTACCTGCCTAGTTCGTTTGCAAGGTCCTTGGAAAGGTCCTTGGAAAGACCTTACTACCTCTGTGCAGCTGAAAAGCAAATGGGCATAATACTCCTCGTTTTCATTTGTTTGAACTGGACAAACAGGTAAGTCATTTTTGGTGTCATTTTTCTTTCCTAGTAGTGGTTCTTTGGAGACCAAACACCCTTTGTTTGTCCTGTTTTTGATCCCTAATTTCTCTCAAAGCAACCACAAGCTTATTATTAGCTTGGTATGCATTGTTTGTGTGTTA